CTTTCGTTGTATAGAAGTTGTTTGACCTTGTTTTCGCAACATGGTCATGTTGGTAGGAAGACTTAGAGGAGCCCATCTAGTCCGGAGTCCATTGTATGCATCATCATTTCGAAAGTTGAACCGCGGACGCGGTACATTCCCAAACGTTTCGCCGGCATCGTAAAGACACGTGAAGCCCATCCTTCGACCAAACGTATGCTGAACAGTTGTGGTATCTCCCTTTCCGCCCTGGGTTATTCGCGTTTCCTGTATCATCCTATCATGCCTTAACTAATACAATTTTATCGTGTCTATATAGTTATAATGTTGTATGCTCCTTTGAACGACATGACAGCTTTACATTCCGAACTGTCGTGAAGGTTTCATGTCGCCTAAAGAAGCATACAACATTATAACTAAATGAACACGATAAAAATTGTAATAGTGAAGGCATGATAGGATGATACAGGAAACGCGAATAACCCAGGGCAGAAAGGGAGATACCACAATTGTTCAGCACACGTTTGGTCAAAGGATCGGTTTCACTTGTCTCTACGATGCCGGCGGAACGTTTGGGAATGTACCACGTCCACGGTTCTACTTTCGAAATGATGATGCAGACAATGGTCTCCGGACTAGCTGCGTTCCTCTAAATCTTCCCACCATATATGGGAATTCTACAGAATCCGCTCTTATATTTTGCTACGATCACACTCACAAAAGTCAGTAGTAAGACTTGATTCAGTTGTCCGTCTGTTCACAGCGCCATTGTGCGCGTTGAGCCAGTAAACGGTTGCCTTGACTGAAAGGAAGAGTATCGGATTTGAGGGTGTTAAGACTGATCTTAGTACATGCTTTATTTCATGCTTTCTGCTTGTAAATTATGCCATACAACGTAATTAGCCCGACTGCTCGTCAAATCTGTACCAGTCTGGTGGAGGCAGCCCCAAATTCCAATGACTACACACTCGCACAATTCGTCGAACAGACGAGGAATTTGGCAGCTCGTGCTGATCCATGTTGTTGTTGCCATGCCGACAATAGCGATCGCCTGGCAGCCTGTTGGACATTTGGTCTTGTCGTCAGGGCGACGATAGTCG